CACACACACACACACACACACACACACACACACACACACACACAGGTCAGTTTCCTTTGTGTTTAGTGTCCTGTGATTGGTCAGAGAGGAGGGCAGGTTGGTGTTACTGGTGTGTGTGTGTGTTGGGGGGGTGCTCTCTGGTTGCTGACATGGCTTCATGTGTTTGACACCCCCAGGTTTTTGTCCTCTGAGGGGTGTCTGTTACAGATCAGAGGGGGTCACACCATGAGGACTTCCTGTTTCACAGCAGACCTGAAGGTTTCTCACCTGACTGTGACTCAGAACTGTTCTGCTGTTTGGGTCGAACCTCAGAAACTGTGAAAACTCAAACACTGTCACTGTCTGATGTTTGATCCATTTCCACTAGAGGTGGGTACTGAATTCAGTACTTTTATAAGTACCAACTGAATTCTGTCGGTACTACAGAGTATCTGTTCACGTAGCATCAAACAGTACCAWGTTTCAGTACCTAAACACATCATTTGTGTGTCTGCTAACATCTCTGAGGCTCCCAGCAGACCTCTGAATCATGTCTGAATGCACAGTTTTCTAAGCCTTGTTCAGAACTGAGATAAGGTGGAGTCCAGTTGTTCTGTCCTCTGAACAAAGATGTGTTGTGTTCCACAGGGACACCTCTCTGAGGGCCTCGTCACAAAGTGGTACCGCTCTCCTCGCCTGCTGCTCTCTCCCAACAACTACACCAAAGCTATCGACATGTGGGCCGCTGGCTGCATCTTCTTTGAGATGCTGACTGGGACAACGCTGTTTGCAGGTAAATGTGGAGCTCAGACCCACTGAGCTGTTTGTGTAGCTCTGTTAAAGACGTAACGCTACACAGAGGCTGGTTCGGCCCGGCGTGTTCAGATAAAACCACAGCAGTTGTTTTTTTTAATCTAGCTGCAGCTGGATAAATCTGCCCTGCTCTGGGCTCCAGGCAAACATTTGCTCCCGTGATCTGCCACTTTTAGCCCAGCTAAACCAGTGGCTGTTGTGTAACRTTTGTGTTTCAGGAGCTCAYGAGCTGGAGCAGATGCAGCTGATCCTGGAGTCCATCCCCGTCCTGCGAGAAGAAGACCGGCAGGAGCTCCACAGCGTCATCCCCGTCTTCATCCGCAACGACATGTCCAAGCCTCACACGCCGCTCGCCAAGCTGCTGCCCGACGTCAGCCCGCAGGGTGAGCCCCGCCCCCCCGCGCTCAGGACTCATGGTGGGGAGGGGTCAGCTGTTTCCTGTCTGACTGTCTCGTTTCCTCCCGCAGCCCTGGACTTTCTGGAGAAGATCCTGACCTTTAACCCCATGGACCGTCTGACTGCAGAGGAGGCCCTGGCCCACCCCTATATGGCCGACTACTCCTTCCCCCTGGACGAGCCCGTCTCTCTGCACCCCTTTCATATCGAGGACGAAGTGGACGACATCCTGCTCATGGACCAGAGCCACAGCCACACCTGGGACAGGTGCGTTTGGACACACAATGATGTCACAGAGGCTGCTTTATGGGATCAATGTTGTCTGAATCTTGAATCTGAACGTACATAACTTAAACTGAATACATTGGTTTGGAATAAATTTCACTAAATTGAAACTGAATTTAAAGTTTTGTATCTGAATTAATTTTCTTTGAAACTGTATTTTGGTTTATTAAAAATTCAGTTTGACTACTTTCA